CGCATTTGAACAGTCAATAGCAAATACTTCAACTAATAACAAAACAGTAGCTGATTCAGAAGCGCCAGATTGTCATAGCAAAGTCAGAATTATCTCCTTTCCTAGGTTCACGAAACGGTCGTCCATAAAATGCATGGCTGTTCTGTTGTAAGTGATCTTAAATATTCCTAAATGCATCTATTTTCGGAAGGCCAAATAAAAAAGTTTTGCTTTCGCCTAGAAACACACAGCGTCTCCCTGACATGCTGCATCAACACTAACTGCGGTTACTGAAACCATGCCTTCTTTCTTTGCGTGCACATTTGGGCGGCAAATTACGCAAATATTTCCACATAGTGAGGTAGATATGTGGGGGCGTGTTAGAACGAGCCGTTTTAGGGGGGTGTGGCAGAGTCTTAACTTTGATAAAGAATATCTCTTTGGTTTTGAGACTTTAGTCTTTGCAACTTCAGGGATCTTATCTATGCACAATCAGCTTGTAACACTCCAAAGAGAAAGGAAAACTTGAAATCACATTATATGACCCCTTTAAAAAAAAAAAATTGTGAATCGAATAGAATCGAGAAATCAAAATCGTGAATCAAATCGAATCGTGAGTTGAGTGAATCGTTACATCCCTACTGCCAGCTCAACGGCTGATCCACACGGCAGCTTAGTATTATCTGCTTGATTTCAATGTGGCACAAATTATTCATAAAGCACGTAATTTACTTCCCAAATGTTTCCGGAAGAAGTCTGAAATGAGAAATCCATTATAAACTTGTAAAAAAAAGAAAAAAAAAAAAGGGCAAGGACAAATGTAAAAATAGATGTATATCTTTTAAAGGGGTGACGTTATGGAATAACTGTGAGAAGTAATTAAGAATCATTTCATTTTCACTTTGCAAATTAAAATAAGGTGATAAACATATTTAAAATTAATAATTAGTGTATGAATTACTTTAAACAGTTGTAGTAATTTATGAAATGTGTTATTTTCAGTTATGTATTACACTGTACAAAAAAAGTCCCGTAAAAAACTGTAAAATGACTGCGGCTGCAAAACAAAAACTGTAAAATGACTGGCAGCTACGGCTGCAAAACAAAAACTGTAAAATTAAAGTAAAATATCATAATTGAAACAAGGAAAAATCTGTAAAATAATATTTTTTTCTGTAAAACCTTTAATGAAAATGTTTGTAAAATTATTGTTTTTGAGCTTTATTTGAATTAAGATATTTTACGGTTTTTGTTTGGCAGCCGTAGCTGCCAGTCATTTAAAAAAAAAAAAAAAGATTTTTTTTACAGTGTACGGTCTTAAGAAATTTTGTCTTGAGTAAGCGTTTTGTTTTTGTATCTTATTTAATCTTGTAGATTAAATTATCAGTAGAAGTGACTTTTTATTAAAAAAATGGTTGGTAAAATTAGCCTTCATCCAACACTTGTTTTTGGATAATATGGAAGATGATGTATAATTATTATGTAATTGTGTAAAAAGACTGAAATACAAATCTTGATGATGATATTCTGACCAAGAACTGGCAATTTAGAGAAAAAGACGTCTGTTTTTTTCTGAAATTAATGATACCACAACTAAAGGCTCAAAAACATCCAGATGTTTCCACAAATTATCATCAAAACATAAGAAACTTGTATTTTTTTAAATGTTTAAGGGGTGGATTTTGGATCGGAAACTACACACACAGTTTCTGACTTTCAAAGACAACCTGCAGTATAACTGACAGCGATCAGTAACCTATGATGTGTCTTACTTTGACGGCCATGATTTGTCCACTGGGTTTGTGCACCATCTTGTTGACGGAGCCATACGCTCCTCGGCCGATCTCGCCGAGATCCTTCAGGTCTTCGGCTGTGAAGTCCCAGTGCTGCTCCGGAGAGATCTTCAGCTTCCCAGACGACTCGATACTGTGTGTCCGCAGCCGCTCTCTGAAAACACACGCACATGCTTGTGAAGACGATCATGGCTGAGGCTGGAAGACAAAACTGAAGACCTGTCTTGACACTACTGTCCACAGAAGACAGTTCTGAGTGGAGCTCCAAAACTCACAGACTGTAGATTAGGGCTGCAATAAAATAAGATTATTTAAATCCAATAATCTGATGATTATTTAATCCAACGACTGATCGATTTGGATTTAAAAAGCTAAAAAACAAACAAACAC